AGTGGTTCTACAAACACACACATACAGAAAACAGACCATGTGTACATACACATACTGCCAGATTTACTCTTGTTGGAAGCAGTGAAATCAGATCTAGATCTAAATCAGACGTTAACTTCTTTTAATGACTTTTAATATGTCTACTGAGATGCATCCCACATCAGCACCACCACCTGCGACTCACTCCAATTATTATTAACCGCTGTACTGTAAAGCGCAGAAAAGGTGCAGATTATAGTTCTCTTTAAATCCAATATGCTGTATTGCATATACGGACCATTCTTTCTAATTAGGTTTTAAAAAAAATTTTAAAAAGAAAAAAAAGTAAGTATTCATTCAGATCTTAGCTAGCTACAGAGATTACGTTACGATCTATTTAAACCCAAGACATTAAGTGATGTAGTAATAAGCTAAATAAGTTAAATCTCATTGTTTTGAGGTAAACATGTTCAAAGGCTGAAAATCACCATGAAAATCACATTAAGAATTGTTACTACCAAAACATACTTTTCTGCAATGAAATAAACTTTTTGTGTCTTAATTAAATATTATGATCTTATGTGTGTGCAACTATTCAAAACTGTGTTTGCTAGTCATCTTCTGGCTTTGGAGGTATGCTCAAAATGAGCTAGAATTATCACTACCGAAACAGTCACTACTGAAACATTTGGTAAAGTTTGAGTAGTATTATGATTGTTTTGGCAGTAGCAAAATGGAACGTTCAATCATTTCAATAAAATGAACATAATTAAATTATTAGGTCATTCAGTGCAAAAGGATTTTTCAAGTCCAAGTCAGTTAAAAGGTGTCAGTGTTTGGTATAGTTTGGTATAATGATCCATATAACATTGAAATAAATACAAATAAACATGAGTACAGTAAATAAGCAACAAGACTCTTGTTTTCTAAACCATACTTGAGATGTTGTGAGTTAGTTAGAAGAGCAAAGTTTATTTCTGGGTTTCTCCTCAATGACCAGCCATTGCACAAATTTGTCCACCAGCACTTCTGATTTGATTTTAACGATGGATTGATTAGCCAAACTATTCATTGCACTGTATGATAGCTAGAATTGATACTGGGCTGCCATAAAGAGAGGCTTGGAAATGACTGAGTGAACACATACATGAAATCAATTAATATACATTTTCGGGTGCTTTTGAACAGCACTGTATTTTCAGAGAACTGATTCAACAGAGACACAGACACACACACACACACACACACACACACTCTCTTACACACACACACTAACTTGCAGTCTCATTTCCCCTTGCCATGGGTCTTCTTGTGGCAGGCTCAGCTTGCAATCTGTCTTTTTTATCTCCTCAGTGGTCTTAGCACAGCGGGTCTAGTAAACACACATACACACATAAACACACACACACACACAGATAATGTCTATATAAAGACATAAACCAAATTAGGAGCAGTCATATCTAAATCAGATGTACATGTCTTTTAATGACTTTTAATACATCTACACGTCTGCACTCATTCATCTCATATCAGCTCCACCACCTGCTACTCACTCCAAAGCAGATTAGCATGGCCCAGGCGGACATGGTGCAGATCAAAGTTCTGTTTGATTCCCATATTCTGTAGTGTATATGTACAAATTTGACCAATACAGTAAGATAAGGGCTTTATAAAAAGGGCTTTTGATGTTTTATTTTTCTCCAGATTTTTAAAAATGTATCTTCTTAAACTTTGCATTTTCTGCACGCAATTTGTTTTTCACCACTGGCCAATATGATTCTTTCAAAAGTGTCATTCTTCTGCTTCAATATCACTTTCCAGCATTTAAGAGCTATTCAGGTGTGGAATATACAGTAGTCATTCATGAATTAGGCCTATAGTTCAGCTAGTGAAGTGACTGTAAAGAAACAGGAGTTTGATTGCCTTCAGTGAAAGACAGAAACAGGCAGATATCAAGCAGTTACAGACAGCTGGGAGGCACACACTCAGCCGTTACTCCTTGGCGACACTCATGGGGGCTTGGACTTGGACTTGGACTTGGATTTTTCTTGTAAAACTGCTTTGTGACAATGTCTATGGTAAAAAGTGCTATATAAATAACCTTTGACTTGACTTGATCAGAAATAGATATAATTGGGTATTTAAATAGAAGGAGTAAAAGGAATGCAGTTTTTTTAAACATCAGGAAAATGTGGATAAATTTTGGTCCATCATTATTAGGGCATTTCACATTATAAAATCATACTATGCTGCCATTCATGTAAATGGAGCTATAAATTGATGTGTTTTATACAGCTCAAGTAAAAATTAGCTTTGGTCCAGTTTCTAAGACTAAGAACCAGCTACTATGTGCACGCAAACATCACTGATGTTAAAAATGTGTAAGAACCCACAGGATTTGACTGGTATATACGGTAAGTCTTCAAGTTTATGTTTACGCTACATGATTTAGTTTACAAATCATAAATAGACAACCTTCAATTTCACCAATTAGACATGCATCATACATACATAGGTTTGTTTATGTCCACCTCCACAATATGCTGAAAAGCAACCGTTTATTTGCAGCAAATCAGTCGTGTATGTTGAGTGCTATATTTCACCTGGACACTGAGATGAGACTAAATACAGTCCAACTCTCAGCTCTGGACGGTCAGTTCTGCCATTTTAAAAACAATCATCTAGAGCTGTGATGAAAAACTATCCACATGTGAAACTTTGTATGGTTGCTGATTGCATCTTTAACCTTTACTGGTCAGTGCATAATGCTCCAAAACTGGTCAGTTCTGGAAGACTCTAGCAGCGTCAGACTGCAACTGTCCCTCATAACCAGCTTCTCAACACCTTACAGACTTTCACAGTGAGCTTATAGGAAGGGTCAAAAACACCTATTTGGGGTGTAACATATGTACAAGTTATTTTTTTATTAGATAAAGAATAATAGCAAAAGGTTTTGAGGAAACAATAGTTACACAAACTGTTGCTGCTATATTATATTCAGTGTTAGGCTTCAAATTAAAGCATTTACTGAATGATTCCAGCCTATAATTCTGTGCTGGGAGTTACTTTAATATCATCATAGTGGAACACAGTAAACAGCAGATGCACAATTTAAACTTGCCCTTGTAGTCCTCACCCCAGTACCCTGGACAGCAGTCCTGTCTAATCACCTGTCGAATCAACGTTCACTGGAACAGCTGGTCATCGGAAAATTTAAATGGACCGAGCCTTGTGGATACTTTCACATATAAAGCACAACAAACAACCTCATTATAGACACTGAACTGACTATTTTAAAAGGCCCACATTCTATGTTTTTCTTTCATTTTATGCCCACCTATGTCCACTAATGACTTGTGTGTCATTAGGCATAATTCATTTTAACATTCTCCAGTCTCTCTTTATCCCTTTGAATTAAACAGACTGTTTTTATTACTGTGTTCTTAAAAACTGATATATGTACATAACCTCAATTCTTATACCCTGATACCTCATCCACAAACTGTCTGAGCAGAAACACTGAAACAAAGAAAAGTTGAGGATATGGGCCCTTAAATTTCGAAAATCATGTCCCATGTGTGATATTAATCGATTTCGTGCTAAATTACATCATGTTACAATGCTTTTCTGAGCATATCATGGATATTATCAGTATTGACCACTTAAAATCTAAGGCTTATTACATATTAAGGTTTATTATTCAGTAACTACAGGGACTTCAATGCAAAGTGGTTGAGCTATTCTGAGATTACAGAAGTGTGTAATAAAGCTTTGGGCCAGCTGGCAGACCTTGGCCATGCGAGGAGTTAAAGAACACTGAACAACTGCATGCTTGGATTTAATGCAGCGCAGTGTGTGAAAGCAAGAAAAAATTAACTGAATTCAGAGTTTTGAATAGTATCTTTTTAAATACAGCTGTACCTTTTCATTTTTGTCTGCTTTTACTTATCAAACCGCAAGCAGTGAATGCACCGCTCCCCCTACTGACCAAACTCCATACTGTTAAATTTACAATGACTGGAAAGAATAAAATGTGAAATAAAGCAAATGTCTTAGTTTTAAGATGGTACAATGATCTGACTGTGTAATGTGAATATCGTCCTAAAATAACACATTTAAACAGTGTATTATTACTGTGTATGAGATGCTTCTGCACTAGCTGTGTTTCGTTTTGTTTATGTTGTGGGTGGAGTCAGTAATATAAAACAAAAGAACAGTGTATTATGTCTTTAAATGCAACACTGAGTAAGAACTCATAAAATAAATAAATCTACTTTTGCAAATTATTGCCATGTGCACAAATTATTAGTGTTATTGTTATTTTTTATTTTCTTATTATAGATGATCAAACTCCTATGAGTTTGATTGTACAGATATATCAAAGATGACAAGTGTTGAACAACAAAAAAGTGGTTGAAATTTGTGTGTGCTCATTTTGTAGTCAGTAAGCAGTGATATCTAAATCAGATTAAAAATCAAAATAGTAAAATATTACACATGAGGTAAAAATCTTCAGACCGCATTTACAAAAGCCTTGGTTGGACTTCAAATATATCAAAAACATTTATTTGTCAGCTTAGGTCCATTTAAACACAGACTACCTCTCACATGCTGACCATTCTATGCAAGATATGTGCAGCAATTTTAGGCTTAATTTCAGTAAACAGTGGTATGAATGTTGCTCACATGTACAGCAGCTCAGAATAACATTGAAGTACAGTGTGCAAATAGTTCAAGTGGTGTTTTTGTTTTCGTGTTCTGGTGGCTGCTGTGGGTGTGACCACTTTAACAGCTTGAGGGTAGAATCAGTTCTTGAACCTGGTGGCTCTGGCTCAAATGTTCTGATATCTCTTCTCAGATGGCAGCAGGAGGAACAGGAAGTGGCTGGGGTGTGTGGGGTCCAAGGTGATACTGCTGCCTTTCCTCAGACATCTTGTATTGTAAATGTCCTGTATGGGTGGGAGGGCAGCTGCAGTGATGTGCTGGGCAGTTTTCACCACCTTTTGCAGGGCCTTCTGTTTGACAGAGTGGAGCTGCCATACCAGCCTATGACGCAGCTGGTCAAGAGGCTCTTCACTGTGGACCTGTAAAAGTTGCAGAGGAGCTGATGTGGCAGGTTGACTCTCCTCAGCCTCCTAAGGAAATCAAGGCGTTGTTTGGCCTTTTTGACGAGGTGTGACGTGTTGAGCGACCAGGTGAATTTAAAGCACTTCAGTCTTTTCACCATGGGCCCTTTGATGCTCAGAGGTGTGTGCATGTTTTGTGATGTTTGGGTCTTTAGTTTTTTTTGGGGTAAAGTCAAACAACCCACCCACCCCCCTTGACTACCCACTGAGTGTCATGGGCAATGCATTCTCCTCCTTCAGAAACCAATAATGCAATGCATTTACATCAGATATGAATATGGCTCATAGCATTTGAGTCACTCTATTCAGTTTGCTATATGAGTGATTTATTTTAACATCATGTTTGACCAATGTACTTAAATAGCAAAAAGCACATAAAAAAATAAGATATATGTGAAGATAATAATATTGAACAATAATCCAGATCCTCTCAGTGTTTCAAACTTTGTTTCATTAAATTAGTTGAATTACATAATCCTATTAGCATTAGTATTTTACATGTTTAAGCCTCTTGATCATATTATAAAACCACCTGACATATGGTCTGTCATACTCTTTGAAAGCACCGACTCCTAATTGTACACCATCTATAATCTGGATTTAGACAGAGGTCACTGGATTAGATAATGTTCATCTTCCATTGGTTCCCTGTTGATCCTTTTGGGCTCTTCTCCACAGAAGCAGAGGTTCATTTTTATGTCATCTTCAAGAGTAAAGAGAGAAATCTGGTCCTGCAAACATGGAAATCATCCCTGCTTCACTGCTGGAACTGAACAGTACACATATAGAACGAAGCACAGACGAAGCATCAGAAGCCGTTTCTCCTGTTCCTACTCTCCTGCCTCCATCGGGATACGCCATTCTGTCATTCTGGATGTTCCTCATCACTGTGTTCTCAGTTTTTAATAACTCACTGGTCATCCTGGTCATGTTTCGGAACCGCCACCTCTTCTTCCCCATGAACATGCTCATCCTAAGCCTGGCCATCTCTGACCTGCTCATGACCCTCTGCGGATCAGCCATCGCCACAGTTACCAACTACTATGGTCAGTTCTTCATGGGCAGAGAACTCTGCGTCTTCCAGGGATTCGCTGTCAATTACTTTGGTGAGTAAAGGGCTGATGTTTTCATTAGTGTAATTATCTTGTAATTAGACGTTTTATAGCCGTTATCGCTTATCTTCCTGACCGATTAAATTATACATCAGCATACTATGTAGAATAAGGTCTCACCTCTTTCACCTTCATTTCAGTTGGTGCCATAATTTCCTCAGCTAAGCTCAACCCTTCACATGATTGAGGTATCAGGCATTGACAACTTGTACTGACTATGCAAAAGCACTGAGAATCTGGCAGAATTACGTAAAGCTGATGTTTTAGGTGGTATGAACTAAGAAGCCAAATCCTTTCAGCCAGAAGCAACCATGGAATGGAATTCCATTTTCCTTCCAGAGTAAAGCATGATCAAATGGAACAGATATAACTCATCTGCAAAACAGCAGTAACATAGTTTTTCAAGAACTCTGAGCACATTTACATCAGTACAATCAAATATGGCCAATTATTCTTTCATGGAGTCCCAACATCATTGGGATTCTTGCAATCTTCCGACACCAGACTGAACCTTACCTTGAACCTCTGCACCACTTATCACCATGTAATTTACCATGATATCAATATCATATCATCCCACCACCCACTCATATTCCAGAGCAAAGCAACCATGGAATTATCACAACCAATAATTCTTCTCTTTCCTCCCTTTTCACAGGCCTTGTCTCCCTCTGCACACTAACCTTGCTAGCCTATGAGCGCTATAATGTGGTGTGCAAGCCCATGGGTACTTTCAAGGTCACCACCCGACGCAGCACTAAGGGTCTTCTGTTGGTGTGGCTCCACTGTCTGTTCTGGGCTGCAGCGCCCCTGCTGGGCTGGAGCTCCTACGGGCCCGAGGGAGTCCAAACCTCCTGCTCTCTAGCCTGGGAGGAGCGCACCATAGTCAGTTACAGCTACCTGATCCCTTACTGGTTCTTCTGCTTCTTGTTGCCCACTGGGATTATCGTCTACTGCTACTGCCACATACTGACCTCCATGAAGAAGGTAAGGGTACAAAAAGAGAATGGGAACAGAAATAGGGGTATTTTGCGAGCAATGACAGCTGGTCATGATATTGGATAGGAGAGATCAGTACACTCACTGTAGCATCACATTTGAGAGTCCTTTCCAGTTGCAGCTATGAATCAATGACATGAGCAGTCTAGCTAATTACTGATCGCACTTAAATGTTTAAATGTTGATGTGTATCAAAACCTAATGCTGTAGCAAGCTAACAGAACAATTACAGTATATTTCACAGTAGCATTACATGTTTTAGCAACATATAAATTATAAAATATATCTTCCATGGATGTCTATTACAAGCAGTTATGAGCTTTAAATGTCCATGTTTTAGGCACTAAATGTTCATGTACAGCTGCTATAGCACTCTTGTTAGCATTGTGCTCACATTGTGCTCTTTTATGCTTTTCCCCCCAATTCTGGCCCCTATCTTGCATATTTTAGTGTTTTTTTTTTGGGAAAGCCTTGTTAATTAGCTAAATAAATGGGTCAGATGTGTCAGAGGTACTTCAGGATTGGGAACCACAGCTGTAACCTAATTGCAAGTGTAAAGCTAGCATTCTGATTTGACTTGGGCAGCTGAACCTGAGTGTGGAGAGTCAGGGAGGCAGATCCCGGCAGCTTGAGGACAGACGGGCCACATGCATGGTGGCAGCCATGATTGGTTCCTTCTTCTTCTGTTGGCTGCCCTACGCTATTGTCTCCATACTTGTGATCCTCCTACCAGACCTCCACATATCCCCACTGCTTGCTTCTATGCCTGCCTACTTGGCTAAGACCAGCCCTGTCTACAACCCCATCATCTTCTTCCTGGCCAACAGGCAGGTGAGCTAACAAAGAAGACTTGCTGGTTCCCAAAAAGTAACTTTGAAGTGACTTTGAAGTATTAGGGTGCAGATATATCATTAGAGTAATGCTTTACATCTAGGTTAACTTAATATTACTAAGTACTAACTAAGTCCTAACTTAGCATTAGTAAACACTGCCAAAGCATTAATTTCAAACAATTCATGATCAAAGCAATTAACACTTGTATTAATTGATAATAAATGTTAACTAAATACTTATAGGGTGACTATATTTTGGTTTTCAAAAAAGACAACACTGAGGGCAGGAGGGCGTCACAGGGCAGACTGTAGAAAGCAAGAGTCAACACGAAAGCAAAGCCACATCCTGGACATTTTAGGCAATTTAGAAATCCTGGACAGGCGCATTTTTTTGGACCCAAAAAGAGAACATGTTCAGGAAAATAAGGGATGCATGGTTACCCTAGTTAATAACAACAGTTTCTCTAATTAATTTACACTCAAAAACATTTCTTCAGGAGTTTGGTATAATGTCATTATCACACCTAAACCCTTTAAGTCCCCACTGGCAGGCTCAAAGTTTTATTACACACTTCTATAACTTAAGAATAGCTCAGCCAGTTTGCATTGAAGTCCCTGTAGTTACTGAATAATAAGTCTTAGTGTGTTATAAGTGTGTAATAAGCCTGGAATTTTAATGGGTTGACCCAGGATAAATGGCAATTCAGTATTGATAGTTTTTAGTTATCTGCTCCTTCATGACTCATCTATCTCCTTCATGACTGGTAAATTCTTAATTACTGCCTCTGAAATGTGCTGCCCCTCTTCCTCAACATATACATTTGAATATAAGTTTGAAGACCACTTGTCAAATTACATGTTAATCTTTGATTTTCTAAGTAAGGGCAATCTAACACATCCTGCACATATTAGCGCATAATTACTTTTTATTTGTTGAGTATAACATATTGAAAAAAATGAAATATCTAATATGAAATGTGCTGTAACTTTTGCACAGGCTACAATATATGTATATTTTTTTCCCAATATGTTAAGTTCAGCAAATAAACAATAATTGTGCATTAAAATGTACAGAAATGTGTTCCCTGTACAGGATGTGTACTTATGTATGGATGGAAGAAACATTAGTTATTAAAGGTGTTAATAATTTAGTTAACATATAATGAAGCATCAGTTAATATAAAGGTTAATTACTTTGTTAAATTCCTTATGTTTGACTAAAATTGGTGTTTGAGGTTTGTTAATGATACCTAATGTATAACATTACTCATGGAAACCTGAATGTAAAGAGTTTCTCTTCACTAACACTAATATACTCTGTTAGTTCAGTTATTTACTAAGACAGAACTGACTAATATAGATTCATATCTGATTGATGTTGATCCTACCCTGCATGTTCTGTCAGAGCTCAGTGGGTGAGAAATACTTCACTGCAGATAATGTACTCTCTCCTGCTCCCAGTTCCGAGACAGTGCCCTGCAGATTGTACTGTGTGGCTGTTACACCCCGACATCCACCATGCCAGACAACAGTGAAATGTCAACAGTGGAGGAAGGCCCCAAACGTCTGTCACCCAACAGCGTACAGCCTGAACAGCACACAGCCTGAACAGCACACAGCCTGAACAACACACAGTCTGAACAACACACAGTCTGAACAACACACAGTCTGAACAGAATACAGCCTGAACATCATACATCCTGAACAGCACACAGCCTGAACAACACACAGTCTGAAAAGCTGACCTTCAGCTTTTACAACCTGAAGCCACCAGCTGAGTCACTCAGCAATATTAGATACAGTGTTGAAGAAGCCACTGCTGCCACTGTTAAACAGTTTGTGAAGACTTGTTAGCAACTAGAGTTTCTAATCACATTTTTTTAGCTATACTATGTTTAAAAAGGGTTTTAAATGTGATTTTTGTCAACGTTCACACTTACGGAAGGTTATCCATGCCAAAATGAAAAGCAAGGTCAGGCCACAGACTGAACTCCATGCTCTGCTTTTAGTTATGACTAGAGTTGCCAGGTGTCTGGCTTTGAGCTCCACTGTCAGGCGTCTTGTTGGTACTCTCAACTGGACGTTGAAATGTACAGTCAAGTCTCATCCTACATGCATTCCATTAACTGAAGTGAGGAGCCTATCTCTCCCTCTCTCTCTTCTCACCCTGTCATTGTTTCTCTCTTGCTCAGTCTTTCTCTCTCTTTCTCTTTGTCTCTCACTCTTACTCACTCTGTCTTTCTCTCCCTCTTTCTCTCTGTCTCTCTCCCTATCTCTGTCTTTCTGTTTCTTCTCTCTCTCTCGCTCTCTCACTCCGTCTTTCTCTGACTTTCTTTCTCTCTGCCTTCCCCCTCTCTCTCTCTCTCTTTCTCGCCCCCCAAACGAGGGTGGTCAGGTTGACAGAAATCTGGCATGTTCAGTGCACCATCTTAGGACATGATTTGAAAAACAGCATGTGTCAAAGTGGAATGAATATTAAGTGCCTTAATTAAAAATGAATGAATCATTTGACTATATTTCTTCATAAATGTGACAAAAAGCCTAATAAGGGACTGTGGATATGCATTGCACTCCAATGTGTGTTACACTTTTGTTCTGCAGTTCATTTTGGCATGGATGGACTACCATATATATTTAGCTTTGTAGCATTGTATTACAGTACAAATGTTTTCCAGTATTAGGAGAGCAATGGCGGTTTTGTAATAGAATCATTAGTCAGACACTCCTTAATGTATAGGTCTGTCCACTAGATGGAGACAAATAGCAGTGCAAAGGATTCAAAGGAGTACTTCACTCAAAAGCATTTACACACACACACACACACATTTTCTAAACCACTCATAAAAGCATTTACATTGCTAAGGTAAAAAATCATTCAGCTTTAAGCAAAATCGCCAACTGAGCCCTGTCAGCTCTTATTTGCTGTTAGCCATGTTAGCATTTTCTGTTAAGTATCTCTTTGTCTTATTCTGCGTTATAAAGGAAAATTGACAAAAAGACCAGAGTTTTTCTTCATGTCCTTCTGCTTTCCTTATATACTGGCAGTCTGTCAAGGCTTGTGCACACTAGGAAGACAGACAGAGAGAGAGAGAGAGAGAGAGATTTGTGTGTGAGGCAGGCTGATTGATTGCTCTTATTAAAGAAACACTTACTGGCAGTGAGACTCCACCACTAATCCAAACCCCCTCAGGCCTTCAGCACTGCTGCTAGAGCCGGCCACGAGCCCCCACAGACTTCTGGGAATGCTTACAGGCTGCGGCACCCCTTGCGGAGTGGGGAGAAACGGGAGACTGAAAAGAGCATTACTTTTGGCTCGGGGCTGTAACTCTATGCTTGGATGGCCATCACTGACCATTCAGAGACAGACAAAAGATGAGACATGGCCCAACTGAGTTAGAGTTATGGGCTCCACAAACCAGCATGGAGCAAATTAACATCAAACGCTGTGTGTGCCCGTCACCACGTCCCCCTAACTGCTGTCCACACTGCTTCAGTCCAGTCAGTCAGTAAAACAATATATCCCACATTGGCAAATGACTGCAGTTCCATGTACTTCAGCAGCACTGGTTTCTATTTATCATATTTTTTTTTGCTAAGAATACGATTATTGCACACACATACCTCATATCCACTGATGCTAAACCTAAAATGTAGATGAAGAATTATTACATTAAGGGATTATGAAGGGAAAAAAGCCCCCCTAATCCCAGAAATAGTGATATTGTATTTCTTGTCCCACAAGAATGTTTCTTCATTGTTTTGACAGTTGGGAAGCCGGCATAGCTCATGTGGCTTTCGCTGAGCTACACACAGTACATTTAGCGAGGGAGTTCCACGTCATTAGCGAGGCTGTAAGAGAACAAACCCGCCATGGCAAAAGGACTGCAGAACACTGGGCAGCTTTGGGCAGAGCTCGCACCTCTGCATACCTTACCTTTAACAGGACAATAAACCTAGCTCTGTAAGGAAAAGGATGAGTGTGAAGGCATGAGGGAAAAGTCAACTTGGCAGTCACCTGTGCAGCTGGCTGAACCTGCAGTCAGATGCCTCCGTGTGGACTCGTTTGTCCGGATTGGATGTCTCTCCAGGGTGGATTACTTCTAGGCCTCCTCCTTATGTTCATTCTCGCTCCCTGGCCTAATCACTCATGGTCAGCCTTCAAATCTACCCTGGAGATGCAGGGCCCTAACCCATACAAAACAAAACACACAATAATAACTGAAAATATATTGCAATCAGATGTGTGTAGAGTGGCCTAAACACATACTCCATTAAAAGAATTGTTACTTCAGTGAAATAAAGACCTAAGGTTGGTATAGCATAGTGGATAACATGGCGGTACTCTGTTGGTTGTCAGTTGGTTCCATTCCTTGCCTGGATGGAAAGACAAATGGTCATATAGTGGCCATAAATCAGGTGCTCCAGCATCCCCCATGACCCAAAAGGATAAGCAGTTTAGGAAGTGTGTATTTGTAAAATATGCCACAAAAATCACCATAAACAGCACATTTGTCGCTGCCTAAGAATTAAGCATTAAAACCGTCATTTTAAATGCAAAAAAAGTGCCATTTATGCCAATGACACTGTTTTCTAATAGTGTAATGACCTCCACCTACTAGTTTTCACAGCCAATAAATTTTCAACCATTCAAATTCACTACAGATCTGCTGATGAACCAGTGTTTTTAATAATAATCAGTTATCGCACAATTTGCACACTTGTAGGTACATTTTCAAATGTGTGCCATTTCTTTGGATCACTTTTTTTTCTATGTAAAACCATGTATGCGTTACTATTTAATTCTCCTCAAACTTAGTACAGTAGACATGTGGTCCAAATGATAATGTTAATGTGTGGAGTTGTATTGTAGTGTTGTTAATGTAGTGGTAAAGTGATATTTGCCTGTTTGCAAAGGATCCAGGTTCTTAAACAGCACAATTTCTGTGTTTTGGGGAAATTTGCAGTGTATTTTATAGAATAGTCAAATATTAGGTTGTATATTACTGTGTAAAAATGGTCATAACACTGTATTTTATGCCATGTTATAAATAAAACTTGTTTGTTTTATGCTGAGTATTGGACTGTTTGGCTTTCTATACACCTGGGCGAGAACACCACACAATACCAATAAGAGTCCTTGGTCAAGACTCCCAGCACTACATTTGCACATAGCTGTCACATGATTAACTTGCTCTGGAAAAGAGCAACTGATAAGTGCCATGAAGGTACACTGAAGTAGAAGTAAAAGCATCTTTCCAAAGAAAAAATACCCCCAAAAACAAACTTACAATGAAAGAGCCATGCACTATGAAAAATGAGCCCATGTTTTAACTTAGAAAAGAAAGTAATCTTACACTTTCATTGGTCTTTTAAATGGTAACAGACAAAACCATAACATGTATTTTAAATTCTGTTAACTTTATAAATTTATAATACAGAGAATGCAGTCTGCAGATATTTTAACCAAGATCCAAAGATTTTCACCCATCACTCCAGTTTTAGAGTATTTGCATTGGTTACACATGAGACATTTAACTCAATTGTTTAACCAATATATATATAATAGAGACAGTTCATTAACAAAATTACCTTACTTTATAAATGTTCAATGTTGAATTAACTTCCGAAGTCTCAAAGAAATTCTGTATCTTTATCTCTTTTTAAGAACCTTTTATGAATTAATTTTGTTGATTTTTTTGTACAGTGCCTTGAATTGCTGCTGTCATGACTGCTTGTTTTTCAAACAAAACACGTTATTATTATTGTACATTGAACCAGTTTTTACAGTGCACTGAAACTTCTTTCATCCAGCATCTGTCAGTATAGGAGGACAATTTTGTTAGGAGCTATTCCTTTCTTTTGATGCATTGTTGGTCTAAAATAAAATGATACATCTCAAAGGTCCGAGGTGTGACCAGCTACAAAGCAATACACCAACATAGCATAATAAAATTAACAGCAAAAAAGTAATTAGTAACTAAATATTCAGTGGAACATAAACACAATGGAAAATACTATGGAAAGCACATATTCATCAAAATTGTACTTAAATACACGTAACTGAGTAAATGGAAGTAGTTAGAACTCGCCTCTGAACACTGTACATTCTGTTGTGATATAGAGTAAACAATCGAAGGCTTAAGATTAGGGCCTATCTAACCAACAAGATAATATCTACAACTGGCTGAGATTTATATTGTTTGCCTGGGAGGATCATGATTGGCAGCTTGTTGAGGAGAGAGTATTGTTTTCAGAACTGTGTACTCTGGAATGAATTTGTGTGGTCACTCAACTCAACTAAATGGAACAACCTATCAAATCTTATTTAGACATTGATACAAGATCGGCTGTGGGTCAAAAGTCTATAACACGGTTACCATAATCAACCATGAAACGCCATGAAACACAACGGTTGAGAGGTTGTCCAAATTAAATCATTTATTGGATTGTGAGTGCGAGCGATGGCTCTGAGAGCTCACATGCTGATTTTTGACGCACAGACTCTGTTTCTCATTTACTCCAGAGCGCTATAGCGAGTTCCTCCTGAGAGCAGGTTCCCAAAACGTGACCTGACAGTGACTGAAGAAAAGTGAAGCAGATACTGCCTG